ACATACATCCATTGTGTCAAGCACATTTGTACATCTGTTGTCCTCATTCTCAAAACATGTGCTTTCTACTTGAGCCCTTGTTATCAACTCATTTTTCCCCACCCTCCCCCCTCACGAACCCTTGATAATTTATAAATTATTTTGTCATATCTTAAACTGTCTGACATTTCCCTTCACCCACTTTTCTGTGGTCCATCCCCCAGGGAGGGGGTTATATGTAGATTGTGATCAGTTCCCCCTTTCTACCCCACCTTCTTCACCCTCCCAGTATCGCCACTCACCACTGGTCCTGAAGGGATCATCCGCCCTGGATTCCCTGTGTTTCCTGTTCCTATCTGTACCAATGTACATCCTCTGGTCTAGCCAGATTTGTAAGGTAGAATTGGGATCATGATAGTGGTGGGGGTAAGGGGGAGGAAGCATTTAAGAACTAGAGGAAAGTTGTATGTTTCATCGTTGCTAGCACCGACTTACTCGTCTGCTGCCCCAGACCCTTATGTAAGTGGGTGTCACATTGCCTACAGATGGGCTGTAGGCCTCCACTCTGCACTCACCCTCATTCACAATATTTTTTGTTCTTTGATGCCTGATACCTTCAACACCTCATGGTCACACAGGCTGGTGTGCTTCTTCCATGTGGGCTTTGTTGCTTCTCAGCTAGATGGCCACTTGTTTATCTTCAAGCCTTTAAGACCACAGATGCTATATCTTTTGATAGCCAGGCACCATCAGCTTTCTTCATATCTGCTTATGCACACATTTGTCTTCAGTGATCTTGTGGGGAAGGCAAGCATCATGGAATGTCAGTTTAAAAGAACAAAGTATTCTTGCATTGAGGGAATACTTGAGTTGGAGGTCCAGTGTCCATGTGCTGCCTTAATACTATCTATAAATATATGCACATAGATCTATTTCCCCACTATCCTATATAAATATATTTACCTATGTACATGCCTGTATTTAGACCTCTAGAAATACCCTTTGCCTCCTAATACTTTCCTCTATTTCCTTTTACTTTCTTCTTGTCCCACTATCATGCTCAGCCTTCATTTGGTTTTCAGTAATTTCTCTTGGTTATACTGCCCTTGCTGAATCCCTACCAGGCCTCTCACACGCTCCTTGCCACTAATTTTGGATCACTTGTTGCTCCCTTATCTACTTGTTTCAAGGAATTTTTAAGTTGTGCCCTTTATTTCTGCAGTTACTCAGTGGTTTTTAAGTCCATGTAATTGATTCTTTCTATTTGATCCTATTATTGGTTTACAATTTTACAGCATTGTGATCCAAAAAGACGGTTTTGGAGTATCTGTGTTTTTCAATTCATTGATGCTCACTTTATGGATTAGCATATGATCTATTTTGAAGTACATTCCATTTGCACTGGAAAAAATTAATTGCACGTTGTTGGGTGAAATGTTCTATAGATGTTTAAGAAATCAAGTTAACTGTGTTTAGTTCTGTGTCTTTTTTTATTTTCTTTCTAGTTGACCTGTCTTTTTTCAAAAGTGATATATTAAAGTCTCATATTGTAGTTATAGTTCATTTGTCTCTCCAGTTCTATGAGTTTGATTAATGTATTTTGAAAGTCTTTCATTGGGTAAGTAGATTTTTAAGATGGCATGCTTTCTTGTTCAAATGTGGCTTTCATCACTATTTAATGGCTTTCTGACTCTCGTGATGGATTTTACTCTGATGTCTGTTAATATTGCTACTCCAGCTTTCTATTGACTACCATTAAATTGATATATTCATGTTTTCTTATCCATTCTTCTAGTCTCTATCATAACTGGCAAATTTAAAGCATTTATACTCACTGTTATTAAGGGTGGGTTTACTGTTGTCATTGTTATATATTTATAATATTGTTGGTTTGTTAATCATAATTTTCTGAGTAGCTTTCCTTCTGTTTAGAAATTTTCTTGTGAATGTTTTTCTTTCTTTTTTATCTTACTCTTTTATAGGATTTTATAGTTTTCCTCTTATTTTGTTAAAGTTTTAGAGTTTTTTAGTTAAGTTTTTAAAATTGTTTTCTTTCCAAATGTAAGAGTTTTGTTGTCTTTTGTGAACTACTGGCATCTTCTCTGCTTGACTACTTAATATCTACTCTGTTCCCTCTTTCATTTTTTGTTGTCTTTATTATAAATTGTTACTCATAGTTCCATATTTTTATATAGCTGTTTTACTTTGTGTATTAGTTGCTTAGGATTTCTTGATAATGTCTTCTACAATGACTTTATATTGCTGTCTGTTATTCTCTGTCCAAACAAGCTCTTTAGTATTTTTTTGTAAGGCTGGTCTTGTTTTTGCAAATTCCTTTTATTTTTTCTTGTCTGAAAAGTATTTCTACTTCATATTTGATGGTTAATTGTGCTGGATATAGGACACTTGATTGGCAGTTTTTTTTTATTTCTTTAAAGATTCTGAATACATTTAATCCACTGCCTTCTTGTTTACATGGTTCCATGGTTCCTTGCCTATAAGGAAAATCTAACCTTAGTCTTACTGGATAGCATTTGTAGGCGATTATTCTCTCTACCCCAGCTTCTGTCCTCTCCTTTGATGTTAAAGTCTGACTCTGATGTGGCATGATGATTCTCTTTGGTGTTTTCTAGACTTCATGGATAACTTTGTTTTCTGTCATAATGTTAAGGAAATTCTATTTCAGTACTTCACTTATTCTCTCTGGTTATTTTTATTCTTCCTATTCTGGAATGTTTATCAAATGGAACTTGTTCCTTTTGACAGTTTCTGAAAGAATTCTGAGATTTCATATATTTTTAATGTCTTTAATAGTTGGATCTTTATTTTGGTCTCAAGAGATTTATCTTCAAGATCAGTAATTCATGCATCTATTGTTTCAATTCTTTTGTTTCAATCTTTCAGAATATTATCCATTTCTAGCATCTTAGTGCATGCATGTCCTTTGATTTTCTATCTGGAGTTGTATTAGTATTCCAAGTTGTTATTTTGTCAGATTGCTCTTGTAGTGCTTTCCTGAGCTCCTCTATCTTCTGTTATTTTTGTATTTCTGTCAAAGTTTTCCTCCATTCATTTAAAACAGATGAAAATCATTCTCCTAAACTTCCTTAAAGGATGATCTAAAACCCTTTCTTCTTCCAAGACCTCTTCTGTAACTAAGTCTGCATATACTCCACTCAATTGTGCCAGTTTCTCCTGTTTTCACAAGTGCACAGGGATTGGGGCTGCTGCTTTCAAGACATGATGCTTTTCTATTTGCTCCTGGAATGTACAACATTCCCTGCACACATGTTGAAGTTCTTGAAGAGTCAAGGGTGGATAAGTTGTATGGCAATAATCTATCCTGAGGGACTGACTGAAATAGTTACTGTAAACACTGCCTCCATCAACACCCTGGTTTGATCATAAAGTTGACTCCTGAGCTTTCAGGGAGTGTAGGCCAATGATCAGTATAACTGACATGAAGGGGGAAAGAAGAGTACCTAAGACACTGCTCACCTGCCTACCTGTATTCATCTGTACACCAGCAGGTACAGGGTCTCTGACCGTGAGGAACGCAGTGTCTCTGAATTCTAAGTCCACAACGAGATGTTTCAAACTCCTATGCTAATCTCCCCTGAAACAGGTTCACCTGATCTTGCACTCCCGCAGGGTTATTATAGTCTAGTCCCAAGAGTTCCAGCTGGTTTTGAGAGTCAACCACCAGCCAATCTGAATCTCTTCTATTTTCCAGAATGCAGTGAGTGTGGGCTGTGACTCTTTGAACCATAAGGTGCAGGGAATCTGAATTTTCCTGCCTGAGCTGGGCCCCCGCCCACCCCACCAGCATGAACTTGCCTCCCACTCTGCCTAGAAGTATGTTGGTAAAGAAGTACTCGTATGGTTAGTGCTGGGGTGAGCGTGGAGATAATACATCACCTCCCCTTTTCCTCTCTCCTCTGCTGAGGGAGAAAGGCAGCTCCAGTGAGCGCCATGGGGGCAGCACAAACTCTGTGGCCCTCTTTTTGGTTCTTTGTGGTGGTTCCTCTCTCTGAAGGCCCAGACTGTAATTGGTAGAGGTTTCTGTTCTTCGGGGAAGGTTTAGAACTTAGATACCGGAGTTGTCGTCACTATTTCTGAAGTTTTGTTTGAAGACGGTTTTACAGAGCCTTCTGCTATGCAGCCATGTTTTCCCCCTCAACAATGTATTCCAGTAGCTCATTGCCATAGCATCAACGACAACTCAGTGACCCCATAGGACAGGGAAGAACTGCCCCTGTGAGTTTCCGCGACTGTAATTGTAATCTTCATGGGAATAGAAAGCCCAATTTTTCTCCATTGGAGCAGATGGTGGTTTCGAACTGCTTACCATGCAGTTTGCTGCCCAATGCATAGCCACTATGCTACCAGGGATCCTTAGTGTATTCTAATATAAGTTATTAAATATAGTTCCTCATTTTAGTAAAAATTATAATCATTCTACTTGCTTCAGCATTGTCCTTACAGATTCTCAATGAAATAAATATATAGAGAAAGCTAGACAGATAGGTACGTTATTTCTCTATAGTTCAGACCTACTGTTCTCAACCCTACATGTATTTCAGAATCACTTATGGAGCTTTAAAATGATATATATTGCTACCTATACTCATCTCAAACTTATCAAATCAGAATCTTTGTATATTGGGTCCAATCTCTGTATGAAGGGGTTTCCCAAAATTGTAAAAAATGGAATTAAAAAATGAAATTTTTAAAAGAAGTTTGAAGTTCCCCTCATACACAGAATATACTATCTCAAACATCTCAAATCTATAAAAAGACTTTGTTGTCTCCATTTTACTGATGAGAAAACTAAGGCTCAGAAAAGCTGAACTTATTAATAAATGCACATGGGAAAAGGTGTACTTCTTTTGCTTCTTAAGGCTTCCTCTTGAAAAAATATCACATTAAAATAATTTTCTTTTCAACTTAAAACAATGTCTGCTAATCAGTAATTATTCAAATACTGGTGAACAGAAAAAGGAATTTCAATGAAAACTTACCATACTTAGTTCATTCATAGTAAGTCTTCTGAGAAGAAATTCAGAAATGCTCTCTGTAGCAGACATGACAAAGTTCTGAAGAAGATTAAATACTTCATCTGTATGGAAAGAAAAGCGTGAAAATGAAAATAAAAATGAGCTCCTGGATACTAAAAACCACGATATGCTAATAAAATACAATTACATGAAGCATCCACCACTCCTCTGACAATGTGTTGTACTATGGAGCTTACATGTTGCTGTGATGCTAGAAGGTATGTCACTGTTATGCCACTGGTACTTTAATACTAGCAGAGACATCCATGGTGGCAGTTTTCAGCACAGCTGACTAGGAAGGACTTGGTGATCCACTTCAAAGTACAACTGTCCAGTGAGAACATCATGAACAACAGTGGAACATTTGTTTGATACAGTGCCAAAAGATGAGCCCTTTAGGCTGGAAGGCATTTAGTGTGACTCTGGTCACGTTGTCTACTCAGAGTCAACCTCAATTACAAATGGAGTACAGCCTTCAGAATTATGATTCAATGTGAGAAGAAACAGCTACAACCATCCATTAATATTTGGAATGTAGAATGTATAAAGTATGAATCTAGGAAATCTGTAGGTCGTCAAAATAAAATGGAACACATAAAGATCTATATCCTAAGTATTAATGAGCTGAAATGGACTGCTATTGACCATTTTGAGCCTGACATTCATACAGTCTGCTATGTTGGCAATGTTATTGCATTCACTATCAAAAAGAACATTTAAGATCTTGAAGTACAACACTGTTAGTGATAAGAAAATATCTATAGACCTACAAGGAAGACAAGTTAATCTAATTTATTCAAACTTACATACTAACCTCTAACGTCAAAGATGAAGAGATTGAAGATTCTTACCAACTTCTACAGTCTGAAACTGATCAAACATGCAATCAAGAGGCACTGATAATTATTGATTGGCATATACAAAAGCTGAGTTTGAAGAAAAAGGATATGCAGTTGTAAATATATAGCCTTGGTGATAGAAATTATGCTGGAGGTAATTCAATAGAACTTGCAAGACCAGCAACTTAATTACTGTAAATACCCTTTTTCCAATAATATAAATGTTGACTACACACATGGACTTCACAGAAGTAAAACACAGGAATCAAACCAACTACATCTGTGGAAAGAGATGATTAAAAAAAATCATTATCATCTGTCAGAACAAGACCAGTGGCTGGCTGACCGTGAAGAGACCATCTATAGCTCATGTGCATCTATAGTACATGTTGACGCTGAACAAAATTAAAACCATGAGAGCAAAGTCTAACCTTGAATATATTACACTTGAATTTAAACTATCTCAAGAAAAGATATGATCAACTGAACACTAATGACTGAAAGCAGATAAGCTGTGGGATGACATCAAGAACATCAAACATGAAGAAAGCAAAAGGTCATTCAGAAGACAGGAAAGAAAGAAAAGACCACACAGATGTTAGATGAGAATCTGATGCAATACAGGAATCTGCAATACAGGAAAACTAAAGTGGCTGGAAAAGACAATGAGTAAAAGAGCTGGAAAGAACATTTCAATGGCCAGCTCATTAAGACGAAGTATATTATAATAAATGTGCAAGATCTGGAGTTAGAAACATACTCTGCATTTATCAGGTTGAAAGAAGCCCCCCAAAATTTTAAGCACTGAGTTGAAATATTGAAAGATTCTGTAAGTAAGATATTGAGTGGAACTGGAGCATCAAAAGAATACAGAGTAACTTATTTCAAAAGTTATTGTTCAACATTCATTCACATAAGAAGGTAGCATATGATCGAGGAAGGAGTAAGTCCAAACTACAAACAATATATTTTACTGGGAAAATTTGCTGTAAAAGACCCATTTTAAAGCACTAAGAGTAAGGATGCCATTTTGAGGACTAATGTGAGTCATAATATTTTCAAATGCCTTGTATCCATGTAAAATCTGTACAATGAATCTGGAAAACGGAAGAACTGATGCCTTTGATTACGGTGTAGGTGAAGAAGATTGAATGTCTCATAGACTGCCAGAAGAAAGAACATTTGTACTGGAAAACGTATAAATAGAAGGCTCCTTTGAAGCATTTAAAATCCTACTTTTGGATAAGATAGAGACCTAACACTCTCTTTTCAGTAAATACAATTACAGTATCTGGACTGAAGGTGTAACACAGCCATTTGAGAATTCTTAAAGGTAATCAGAATATTCAAGAAGACCAGAATTTGAAGTAACACAAAAACAAATAGGCTTTCTAATTTTATTCTTTCAGATCCTCCTGTAGATTGTAACTACCTACCAGAGGAGTCATGAAAATGGGCAGCAGAATGGGTAACTAAAACCCCAACTTTCTGACCAGATGATCTGAAGAGAGAGCTTCAGGCAAGCAGACAGTGAGCACCGAGGAAATAGAGAGGAGCTAGAAAAATCAGCTGTAGAAATTCGTTTTGAATTCCTAGATTTAGCCTCCACCACCTCACCCGAGGTCTACATGCAAAATCCTGGCATTAATTAGCCTAGCAAAGACTTTCAGATCTGAATTGCCCAGAACACTTGTCCAATGAAGCATGGGTAGAATAGATGCAAATAGCATAAAAGGAATTTGCAAACAAATGCAATGGTAGCAACACTCAAAGACTGGATTAGAACTTGAGATCTGAGTATTGAGGTTGACTGCCTGCTAAATAAAAGGATCAACGTTCTCCATAGCATTGAAATAAGATCCAGTCTCAAAACATAAAAATCAAAATTGGTAAGGTACAATCCAACTTATTCAGCATATGAAGAGCTAAGAAAATCTCAGCTCACATGGGAAAAAACAACGCCAGATGACGTAGAATAATCTGAAAATACTTTAAAGCAGCTACTATGATGATGGGGAAATATATCTATGTACATATAGTTATAGATTTAGTATTAAGGTAGCAGATGGACACTGGGCCTC